CCTGTGAAGCTCTGGTGAACTCCATGCCCAAGAGGGTTAAGGCAGTGCTGGAAAATAATGGTGGGCGCACAAAATACTGACACTTTGGGCCAAATTTGGACATTTTCACTTAGGGGTGTATTCACTTTTGTGGCCAGCGGTTTAGACATTAATGGCTGTGTGTTGAGTTATTTTGAGGGGACAACAAATTTACACTGTTATACAAGCTGTACACTCACTACTTTACATTGTAGCAAAGTGTCATTTCTTCAGTGTTGTCACATGAAAAGATATAATAAAATATTTACAAAAATGTGAGGTGTACTCACTTCTGTGAGATACTGTATGTTTAAATACATGAATACATCTCATCAACCTTATAGCTTAAAGAGATGTTTTCAGTTCATCTCAAGCAATGACTTTTGAGTCTATTTCTAAGATCCAGATTCATTAGTTAAATTCAGGCTGAATCATAAATCAGTTCAACTGACTCAAAATGTTGGAAAAACACACCCTGCAAACAAACACTGATGCGCCTGAGCTGCCAGCTGGATCAGAAACAATCACTGGCAGCCTGCGAGAAACCAGACAGACATCTGAACTCATTACAGCGATGTTGAGTTATTTTGAGGGGACAGCAAATTTACACTGTTATACAAGCTGTACACTCACTACTTTACATTGTAGCAAAGTGTCATTTCTTCAGTGTTGTCACATGAAAAGATATAATAAAATATTTACAAAAATGTGAGGTGTACTCACTTCTGTGAGATACTGTATGTTTAAATACATGAATACATCTCATCAACCTTATAGCTTAAAGAGATGTTTTCAGTTCATCTCAAGCAATGACTTTTGAGTCTATTTCTAAGATCCAGATTCATTAGTTAAATTCAGGCTGAATCATAAATCAGTTCAACTGACTCAATGTTGGAAAAACACACCCTGCAAACAAACACTGATGCGCCAGAGCTGCCAGCTGGATCAGAAACAATCACTGGCAGCCTGCGAGAAACCAGACAGACATCTGAACTCATTACAGCGATTGGCTGCAGACACACCTGAACAGGTGTCCATCCCCCGCCCCACACACACACACACACACACACACACTGAGCCGAAGCGCACAGATTAACAGCGTCTAATTAGATTTTATGGGTTACGCAAACGCTCCTAATGAAATCACACCATGACCATATTAAACACTCGCGGCAGGAGAGCGGCCGCAGCTCCACACGAGAGAGACCAGCTAAAAATAACACAAAAACAACTGAGGAATGACCCAGAAAATCAATCACAGAAAAACAAACAGGTCTGATAACTGATAACTAAATCCTGCTGTGGGTCATATTCAGTGTTATTTTTTATTACTGCTTTACGGAGCCACGCACATGGTATGCAGGAAAAAAAAAAAAAATAGTAGGCTAAATCGTGTGCACGATTTACTATTTCGTTCCCTCGATTTATAAATCGTAGGTATTAATAGTATTTATAAATCGAGGGAACTAAATAGTAATCGTGTGTGTGTGCACGATTAATTTATTTTTTCTTGCATGTCATGTGCGGGGCTCCGTACTATTTTTAATTACGTTTTCATTTTAATTTTACTTAAAATTTTAGTAATTTTTTTGTGTTTTTGTCATTTTTACATATGTATGAAATACATTTACTTTGTTTCTATTTTATTTTATGATGGTTTAGTAATTTTGTGGTGTTTTCTCATTTTTGTTTTATATAGTTTTTTCTATTTATTAAGTAGATCAAGTTAAACTGACTGAAAATTAGAAATATTGTCTTGGAAACTAGCTGAAATAAAATAGGTTTATGTTTTTTTTAATACTTTATTTGAGTTAAACTTTTTTTTTTTTCATTTTTTGTTTTGTTAATTGCCCTGGAAACTTATGGAAGCCCGTTTCCGCCACTGAATAAAAAATAAAAGAGGTAATTGTGACTTTTTATCTCACAATTCTGATTTTTTTCACAGAATTGCATGATATAAAGTCACAATTGCGAGTTAAAAAGTCATAATTGAGAGATATAAACTCACAATTCTGAGAACATAGTCTTTTTTCCCCCCTCAAAATTGGACTTTAACTCGCAATTGTGAGTTTATATCACGCAATTATGTGAAAAAAAAGTCAGAATTGTTAGATAAAAAGTTGCAATTACCTCTTTTTTATTTTTTATTCAGTGGCGGAAACAGGCTTCCATAGAAACTAGCTGAAATAAAAATTTAAAAAAGGTTTTTAAATATTTTATTTCAGTTACATTTTTAAAAGTTTGTTGTGCATTTTCTTTAATTATAATTTTTTTGTCTATATAGTTATTAATCTTTTTTCAGTTTTATTTTCTATGTATTTTAGTACATTGAGTTAAAATCAGAAATATTACCTTGGCAACCAGTTAAAATAAAATAAGTTTAAGGTTTTTAAATGTTTCATTTTTATCTCAGTTAAAGTCTATTTTGTTTCAAGTGAACGGAATGTTAATGTATCGTTTTAGTTCTCACCTGCTTTATGGTGTCATACACGGCTCTGAAGGCGGGCTGCTTGTCGTCATGGTAAACGCCGCGGTTGCCGTGGAGAATGTAAACACCGCTCTGTTCAGCGCTGATGCAGTTGCTGCCGTAAATACAGTGATCAGGACGATAGTTCCAGTGACACTCGATCAGCAGCAAAGACTCTGAGATCAGACCCAGTGAGAATCAATGCGCTTGCATGGGCTACACTGCACAGTTCTAGAGGTTTCTTCTGTATATTGTGCACACATGATGATGATGATGAGCTGGTGTACCTGGGTTATGGTGGAAGATGATGTTGAGCAGGTCCTGGTCTCCCCACGTGATGTTGAGCTTGTATTTGTGTAACAGAGGCATCAGAAGATCGGCCCACTTCAGATCCACTGCTGTCAGGTCGTTCTGTTCACACACACACACACAGACACAGACACACAGAGACCCACAGAGACCCACAGAGACACAGACAGACACACAGACAGACACACACACAGACACACACACAGACAGACAGACACACACACACACACACACACACACACAGACAGACACACACACACACACACACAGACAGACACACACACAGACACACACACACACACAGACACACACAGACAGACACACACACACACACACACAGACAGACACACACACAGACACACACACACACACAGACACACACAGACAGACACACACACACACACACACAGACAGACACACACACAGACACACACACACACACAGACACACACAGACAGACACACACACACACACACACAGACAGACACACACACAGACACACACACACACACAGACACACACAGACAGACACACACACACACACACACAGACAGACACACACACAGACACACACACACACACAGACACACACAGACAGACACACACACACACACACACAGACAGACACACACACAGACACACACACACACACAGACACACACAGACAGACACACACACACACACACACAGACAGACACACACACAGACACACACACACACACAGACACACACAGACAGACACACACACACACACACACAGACAGACACACACACAGACACACACACACACACAGACACACACAGACAGACACACACACACACACACACAGACAGACACACACACAGACACACACACACTCGTAATTATTCTCAATCCGTCTCATGTATGACAGATAAATGAATGATGAAACCGCTTCAGTAATGTGGAAATATGAGAAAATGAGCAACAGAAGAACAACAGAGACATCTGCTGGTGAGACGTTACAAATGAAAAATAAAAAAAACATGCACTGTTTTTATCAACATCAAAATATAAGGGTTAAAATGTGTATTTATATAAGAGAATGTGTTTCTTAATTTCTTAAATAATTTCTTTCATATTTTTGATCCAATAACAATACTCCTAACAACTGTAAACAAT